GGGTGGTAGTGCACACCTGTGGTCCGAGCTACTCAGGTCACCATTATCTGGTGAGATGATGAAGGCAGGACTTAGGATGTTGTCACTTCAGGAAAAAAGACTGATTTGATAGACACAGAGTCTGATGTAGGGGAGAGTGTCAGAGAGAGAATTGACCTACCAGGCAACCATTGGTTTTTAAGTCAGAGGTCAGAAGGCAGCAGTGTGGGGTCCCGGTAGGATGAGATCCAGCTCCTCCTCTAGTTCTGGAGGAGCTGGCAGGGTGTTGGGTCCAGGACAGGAAATGGCTAATCTAAGGGAACCCTTTGGCCCAGGCTGGTTCCCATCCCAACAAACCCCTAAGTCTTGGACTAGCAGACAGTTGGTCTCTATAGAACAGGCAGAGGGCACAGGGTGCCTCCCATGACCAGCCCTGGGCTTGGGCCTGGCCTTGGGCCACTTGTCCCTTTAGCTGAGTACCCTGAGCTTAAAGCAGCAGACTCCCTCCCTTAAGGTGACACCCAGGAATGTCCCTCCTGGGATGGCGGTAACACTACCATTTGTTGCTCAAAGCACAGGTACTTAGTCTCAGGGGTCAGAGTACATTCTTCAGGCCTCTCCTGGGAACCACTCTCAAATCTAAGGAATTGGGGGGTAAACCCTGGCATCCCCTTGTGTATTAGTCCATTCTCCCACTGCTATAAAGAACTGCCTGAGACTGGGTAGTTTATAAAGGAAAGAGGCTTAATTGCCTCACCGTTCCTCATGGCTGGGGAGGCATCAGGAGACTTACAATCATGGCAGAAGGGGAAGCAAACACATCCTTCTTCACATGGCAGCATGAGAGAAAGGCGCTGAGCCAAGAGGGGAAAGCTCTTTTTTCTCATGCTGCCATGTGAAGGAGACAGAGTTTCGCTCTTGTTACCCAGGCTGGAGTGCAATGGCGCGATCTCGGCTCACCGCAACCTCCACCTCCTGGGTTCAGGCAATTCTCCTGCCCCAGCCTCCTGAGTTGCTGGGATTACAGGCACGCACCACCATGCCCAGCTAATTTTTTGTATTTTTAGTAGAGACGGGGTTTCACCATGTTGACCAGGATGGTCTCGATCTCTTGACCTCGTGATCCACCCGCCTCGGCCTCCCAAAGTGCTGGGGTTACAGGCTTGAGCCACTGCGCCCGGCCTCTTTATGACAACTTCCAAGCTCCTTACGTGACAGACCAGAAACCAGATGGCCAACCAAACTTACTGTGTCACATACTTTCTTAACTGTCAGTATATTACCCTGACTTTAAAGGAGGAGACCTAAAGGGAAGGTAGTTTCTAACTGGGTAGTGTTTTTCAGTACACAAATACTCAGGCTCATTCGTACCCACATTAGAAAATTCCATGAAGGAGTTAGCTGGTTGTTCGGGTTTTTGGATTTTTTTTCTGTGTGTGTGTGTGTGTTTTGAGACAAGGTCTCACTGCTCACGCCTGTAATCCCAGCACCTTGGGAGGCCAAGGTGGGCGGATCACGAGGTCAAGAGATCAAGACCATCCTGGCCAACATGGTGAAACCCCATCATTTTGTATTTTTGTAAAAAATACAAAAATTAGCTGGGCATGGTGGTGCACACCTGTAGTCCCAGCTACTCGGGAGGCTGAGGCAGGAGAATTGCCTGAACCCAGGACGTGGAGATTGCAGTTAGCTGAGATCGCGCCACTACACTCCAGCCTGGCGCCTGGCAACAGAGCAGAGCAAGACTCTGTCTAAAAAAAAAAAGAAGAAAGGCAGATACAGAGAATCATGATTTGCCAGAGCAGAAACCTTTCCTGGAATCAGTACCTGGGTGGGAAAACCTGAACTGCAGCTGATGAATGGCTGGCAGTATGGATGTGTGCTCCTGGTTCATGTTAGGTGGTGCTGGACTGCAGCAAGGAATACCTAGAGAATGGTGAAGCATGACTTCTGGGTTTGCCTGTGGAGGTGTTTCCGGAGGAGATTGGCGTGGGAGTCAGTGGACTGAGTGCGGAAGGTCCGCCCTCAATGTGGGTGGCACCATGCCGTTGGTTCACAACTTGGAGAAAACAAAAACAGGGAAAAGATTTTCCTCTCTCCCCACCTCTCCCAGAGCTGGGACATTCTTTTCCTCCTGCCCTTTGGATATCAAAACTCTAGACTCTTCAGCCTCGGACTGCGAATTACTCCAATGGCTTCCCTGGTTCTAAGGCTTGCAGACTTGAACTGAGCCACGCTACCGGCACCCCTTGCGGATGATCTGTCATGGGACTTCTCAGCCTCCGTTAATTGCATGAGCCAATTTCCCTATAAATCCCCTCTCATCTCAATCGTCTAGCCATCATATTGGTTCTGTCTCTTCAGAGAACCCTAATACAAATTTGAGAGTTAAAAACTGGCTGGGGGGCCGGGCGCGGTGGCTCACGCCTGTAATCCCAGCACTTTGGAAGGCCCAGGTGGGTGGATCACGAGGTCAAGAGATCGAGACCATCCTGGTCAACATAGTGAAACCCCGTCTCTAGTAAAAATACAAAAAATCAGCTGGGCATGGTGGCGCGTGCCTGTAATCCCAGCTACTCAGGAGGCTGAGGCAGGAGAATTGCCTGAACCCAGGAGGCGGAGGTTGCGGTGAGCCGAGATCGCGCCATTGCACTCCAGCCTGGGTAACAAGAGCGAAACTCCGTCTCCAAAAAAAAAAAAAAACTGGCTGGGGAAGGTGGCTCACCGCCGCAATGCCAGGACTTTGGGAGGCTAAGGTAGGAGAATCACGTGAGCCCAGGAGTGCTAGACCAGCCTGGGCAACATAGCAAGATCCTATCTCTACAAAAAAGAAAAATATTAGCCAGGCGTGGTGGCACACACTTTAGTCCCAGCGACTGTAGGATGAGGTGGGAGGATGGCTTGAGCCTGGGAAGGGGAGGCTGCAGAGAGCCATAATGGCACTGCTGCACTCCAGCCTGGGTGACAGAACAAGATCTATCTCAAAAAAAAAAAAAAATTAAAAAGTCCATGGGAGGCTTAGGCAGAAGAATCACTTGAACCCCAGTAGAGGTTGCAGTGAGCTGAGATCATACCATTGCACTCCAGCCTGGGTGACAAGAGCAAGACTCC